TTACCGCGGGTTCGTGCCGTGTCGACCCCAGCGCTTGTTTTCCCACACCGCGGGGATCGCTCAGACTTGAACGATCGGCCGTTTCAGAAGCGCCAGATCGTTCAACGATGGGCCGATTCTGGGCCACGGGCGGCGTTCAACCTGAAACGCCCGCGCTGGGGCCGCCAGGTGACCCTACCAAACATCGCTGCGGTCGCCGCCAAAAGGGAGGTCGAAATCCCAGAAGTACGTTTGAGAGGCAGGCCGTGAAGCGTAGCCGCGATTAACAAGCGAGAACACACTGGGCCGCTCGCGGATCGGGCCCGCACGGCGACCTGCGGCTCGAGCCTGACAATCCAGACCCAACACAATGTCTAGAAAAGAATGGCCCTTGCAATTCCATTGTGGACCCGATCACTCCATAGCACTACAAAACCTCCAGTCCCGCAAATGAGACAAGAAGCGAGGTGCTTGGAGTGCGAGCTCTGACAATAGAGGGGGCTCTTTTAAATTTATTTCTTAAACAAACTACAGATGCAATCCTGTGAGTACTACGCTTCCAGCCGCTTCGGAGCGAAGATTGTGCCAGAGTGGACCAAAGACTCGTGGCTGCAGCTGCACGCAAAGACCTGACGGGGCGTGCAGGAGACCACGAAGTCGGGCACGGTCGATTCCTGTCGTGGCGACCTGCGCGAGGGCTTCTGAAACCGCGCGCGTGGATTGCTGAACCTTGAACGATCGCAGCTTCCCGATAGCGACGATGGCTCGACCGATGCAGGGCCACCGGGGGCGTTCAACCTTGAGCGTCCGCGCTGAGGTCGCCGACGCGTCGACACGACGCAAACCTGCGGTACACGGTCGTTGCGAGCCGTGATGGGAGCAGTTCCTGCGAGCTGCGAACGGCGTCTCAAGAATGCAAGTCACACCTACGTGTCCCCCGCGCCCACGCCCTCACCGACCCTCGCGCCCACCGCCGTGCCCACGGCAGCCGCGCCCGCGCCCACGCCAACGAGCATGCCCACGCCGATTCCGACGCGGGCACCCGCGCCGGCGCAATCTGCCGCGCCGACGCCGTCGCTGACCATGTGCCCGACTCAGGGCTCTAAATCGACGACGACGACGACGACCATCACCACCACGGCGGCAACGACGAGGAAGAGGACGAAGAGGAGCAGGACCAGAAGGACGCGAAGGATGAGGGTGGCGACAAACGAAAAGGAAGAGGAGGCAGAATCAGGAGAAGGACGAGGGTGAGGAAGATTATTGGAGAAAGAGGAGAAAGGGAGAGGGGAAAGGAAGAAGGGAGAAGGACGGAGCGGGGCGAGGGAGGGAAGAAGGAAGAGAATGGAGCGAGGATAAGAAAATAAGAAAGAAATAAAGAAAGAAAGGGAAGAGAAGGCCGAGGAGGGAGGACGAAGAACCGACGAGAGGAGTAGGCGGCAGGAGGGGGCAGGAGGAGGGGGAACCAGGAGAGGCGGGAGAGGTGAGGCGAAGTGAGGACGACGAGGAGGAATGGAGGGGAAACAGGAAGAAGGAAGAAAGAAAGAGAGGAGGGAGGGCAGAAAGGGGAGGAACATGGAGGGACACCCGGAAAGGGGATAGGGAGCAGCGAGAGGCGCAGAGCATCTCCCAGCCTGCTCCTGCACACACAGGTCGGCACCACAGGCCGACCTGGTCGATCGCCCGGGGCCCTGGAGGGAATGGGGCCCCGAGGTCGTTCGGCCAGAAGCGGGATCCCGAACGAAACCCTCACTGCTTGAGGCCACTCGCCCTCGGGGCCCCGCCCCCCAGCCGGGTCGGGCGAAAGAGGCGGGGGCAGCAGATGGGAGACCAGAGGATGGGAGACTAGTGAATGGGAGACCAGCGACTGGGGTAGCAACAGGGAGGGGGTAGCAAGTGGGAGATCAGCGAATCAGCCGACGTCGCCGACGTTCCTGGCTCCCCATCGGCGCCAGAGGCGCCAGTGCATCGAGGCAGGCGCTTGCCGGCGGGGACGAAGCAGGCGGCACGCCGCAACTTTCGCACCCCGCCCTTCCCCGACCCTCCCCCGGTGTCGCCCGACGTCGCGCCGACCCGCTCGCCCGCCCGCGTGCCCCCCGCGCCCACGCCCTCGCCGACCCTCGCGCCCACCGCCGTGCCGACGGCAGCCCCGCCCACGCCCGCGCCGACGCCGACTCCGACGCGGGCACCCGCGCCAGCGCAATCTGCCGCGCCGACGCCGTCGCCGACCATGGGCCGGGCTCAGGGCTCTGAATCGACGACGGCACCCACGACGAAACGACGACGACGACGAGTGCGACGACGACGACGACGACGACGACGACGACGACGACGACGACGACGACGACGACGACGACGACGACGACTACGACCAAACGACGACGACGACGACGACGACGACGACGACGACGAAACGACGACGGCGAAACGACGACGACGACGAAACGACGACGACGACGACGAAACGACGACGACGACGAGTGCGACGCGACGGCGACGACGACGACGACGACGACGACGACAACGAAACGTTGACGAATTGACGATGACGAAGCGACGACGAGACGACGACGCAGCGAAGGCGAGGGCCGCAATTCGAAGTAGAGCCGCACTCCATGCACGAATCTGTCTGAATTTTGAAGACGCATGTGCGCGGCGCTAAGGCGAACACCCTTTGTCGAAAAGCGGTCGCCCTCCGTCTGTGCAGTTGTCGGGAACTTTACGACGAGGGCCCCACCTCTGAACCGCCGACCGCCGAGGTCGCGCGGTTGCGGGTCGGCGACTCCGAAGGGTGTGGTTTGCAAGGGGTGTGGTTTGCAACCGGCACCCTGGGGGGCATCCTGAGGTGCGGACGAGAACCTCGACAGAGTTTTCGTTCGCCGCGCCCCGAGGAGGCCCGACGAGGCCAGCGTCGCGCTCCCCGACGGTGCCGATCGCAAGCCACACCCCAGCGTAACCGCACCCTTTGCAGCAGGGCTGAACCTAAACGGTGTTCTTCGTTTTCGTCCGCAACACGAAGTCGACACGAAAACGGCCCACGGAAAGGCCAAAAGCACCGCTTGGGCCCAGCCCTGCCTGACAGGTCGCCGAGCCGAGGTCGCGCGGTCGCGGGCGGCCGAGGCGAGCGCACATGCTGGCGCGCCCGCGGCACGCCGAGGAGCTGCAGAGGTGTGAGCGGCGGCCCGCGCGGCGCGCCCGCCTGGGGGGGAGGGGGGGGCGGCGCGAGCCCTGAGCGGCAGCGCGCGGGCGTCGGCGCCGACGGGGGGGAGGCGAAGGACGCAGCACGGAACGGGTGCAGGCAAGCTGCTGCCACAGGGAACGCCAAGTAAGGAACGGAACCCCCTTTTTGGCACCAGGGAGCGACTGGGGGAACGAGGGAAGCTAGAGGAGCAACCACGGAATGACCTACAGCGAGCCCCTTGCGAACGCAAAGCGGTCCTTATCTCTGCGCCTTGACTGTAAGCAACGAGTCGCGAACCCGCCAATGCTATCTGGAGGTAATCCTCAAAGGAACCTTCAGGCACTGCTCAACCTCTAAAAAAAGCTCAGCGAAGTACAGGCCGAGGAGGACGGCTCTTGCCGTTGGGTGTCTGCCGTCGGAGGACGGGTAGTGCGAGGCGGCGGATGAAGGGAGGGGGACGCGGGGGGGGGACGAGGGAGGGGGGAGGAGGCGCCAACGAGGAGGGGGGGGGGGGCACGAGTGGAGGCGAAGGCACCAACGATGGGGAGGTGGAGGAGGGAGAGGACCAGAGTAAACCCTAGGGTGTCAAGAACCTGCAACACGCCCTCCCGTCCCAAGTCCCCTCCCTTCGGTGTCCACACAGACCTCCACTTTCACTGCAAGAGGTGCCACATGACAAAAGATCAGCCTCCACCTGGCCTGAGATTCTGGCGAGAGCCGCGTTTTTGACGAAAGTAATGTGAGCAAGGTAATCATGATCATAGAGCTTATCGAAGTGTCCAGTGATATCCGTATTATGAAAACGGTCACCGTCTCGAGCGAGACCACTCATGCTGAAAAGGAGCCACCTTCCATCCGCGTAGCCGTTACATGTGCTCAACTTCCTGGCCTCCCAGATTCAGAAAAGTCATCGGCGAGAGCGACACTTTGAGAAGGAGCCGCCCCCCACCTCTGTGAATGCTGTAATCCTCTGACCCTGTCGGCTTGTCTGAAAGGCTTTTCCATTTTCGTCGTCCTCGTCGCGGGCCGCTCCCCTCCTTTCCCTGGACCCTCCTCTTCAAGCTTCCCGACCAGAGGGAAAGCGAGCAAGGTCGTAATCGAGTCGAGGGGAAGCCCCATTCCCTTTGTTTCCTCTCCCGCCACGGGGATGGGGGTCCTAGGGTCCTAGGGAGGGGATCCCGATGGGGGGGGGGAGAGGTCCTGGGGGCTGGTGATTTTCGCCCCCCGTCCTTTCCCCTTCGCCTTCCCGGCCTTCCCCTGGTCCTCCTGGTCCTCCTGGTCCTCCTGCTCTTCCGCTTCTCCTGCTCCTGCCCCTGCTGCTGCTGCTCCTCATCCTTCCTCCTCCTTCTCCTGCTCTTCATCCTTCTGATCAGCCACCTCCTCCTCCAATGTACACAGCTCGCCTCTCCCACGGCGCATCGAGCGATGCAGTCATTTGGGGGATCCAGGTTCGCTGGGACACTAGTCGGCGGATATAGAGACAAACCTTCGCAATGCGAAAGGATGGGCGGGAGGGCTAGGACTTCAGGCATTGCGCGTGCGCACCTGACTTGTCACCATCCCTTTCTCCTCTCTGCTTATCCACTTTCTCCCCCACATCCTCATCCTCCTTGTTCGACGGCAGGCTCAGCAATTCTGCTGCTGGGTCTGCTCAGGCTGATTCCGAGCTTGGGCTTGACGGTTGAGTCACCTGTGTGTTCCACTGGATGCTCCTACACTTCCCTGATCAGGTCAACTCTCCCGGCGATCGTTTCTGGATGGGCTTGTGGGGATTCGCGAAGCGTCAAGGAACTTGTCACGAGCTCTTGGACACTGCTGCCGCTTGTCGCCGCCGCTGCTGTTCCGCCTGGCAGCGATAGCACTCTTCTTCGGCTCCACAGCGGCACCGCCATCCGATCACGGCCCCGTGCGCTCAGTCCTGCTTCTCTGGAGGAAGAGAAGAGAAGAGAAAGCGGTATCAACATAAACTTTCGACGGCCCACGCGGATCTCTTGGATCGGCGCTGGGCCCCCCCTCCCTGGCGCACAGCGCCGCAAGGGGGCTCCGGCGCAAATCCAAGAAATCCGCGCGAACCGTCGAACACGTATGTTTATGCCGCTGTTTCTTCTTCGATGCTCCGCGCACCGCTGCCTCCGCTTCTGCTTGGACCCCTCGAAGCCGCCGTACAGCGTCCTGACGGACCCGGGCCGGACGCGGTACTCCGTGCGGCCACTCTCGCTGCCGCCCAGCAGCTCCAGCTCGAACGCGACCACGCCGCAGTTGACGATCTTCGCGTGCTTGCACTCGTGGTAGGCGGCGTGCGGCAGGAACACCTTGGAAGAAACACAAACGGCATAAACATAAACTGTCGGAGCTCCGCGCGGATTTCGTTGATCAGCGCTGGACCCCCTCCCTGGCGCGCGAAGCGCGCCAGGGGCGGCGCCAGGGGCGGCGCCAGGGGCGGCGCCAGGGGCGGCGCCAGAAGCGCCGCCGGGGGGGCCCGAGCGCCGATCCAATGAATCCGCGCGGAGCTCCGAAAGTTTATGTTTATGCCTTCGTCTGTTCTTCGACAAAGAACGTCGCTGGGGGTCTGAACTGTTCGGGACCCTCGAAAATCTGCCGAATCTGTTCAAAATCAATCACCGGACCCCTCCCTGGGTTCATCTGGTGCAATGTTTCACCCCAGATCTGTTTTTCGCTGTCCCGGGGACCGAAGACAGCCCCGGGAGGCCGAAGAAGGCTCAACACTCAAAACCTTCCCGGACCCCGAACCTGGACCTTCCTGGCCTGGACCTATACTGGGCCACTTCAGACCCCCAGACGGCCCCAACCTTAGACAGGCGCGTTCCACTACTCGCAAAAGTAGCTACTCGCAAATGGCCTGGATCCGCCGCGGGTGATCTACGATACATTGCATGGAAGCAGACATGTGTTTTTTCGGGCGTTTGCGAGTATGCACTTTGCAAAGTCACAGAACGCGCTCGGTGAAACCTGGAAGAACGTCCGGAACCAAAGGGAGTGCCCGAACACCACCACTGCCGGCTGCAGCGCGGCTGGGCTGCAGTCCGAGAAGGCCCACTCGCAGAAGGCCTCGAGGCGCTGCCCGCCGTTCCCCGCGAGGCCCTTGTTGCCGAAGTTGTACGCCGCCTGCAGGCAGCCTGCAGGCAGGCTGCCGGGCGCGGGGCCGCCGGGCAGCGGAGCTGGCAGCGGCGGCGGGCGGTGGGCGGCGCAGAGGGTGAGCGTGTCGACGTTGCGGCTGATCTCCTCAGATACCTCCCTGGTAGGGTTCGAGCAGATGGGGTCGGAGGATCGCTCCGCATCGCCGATGCATCGCTGATGCTGGCGACGCATGAGTACCGTCGGCGTGGAGCGCATCGGGTCCCACATCGGGCCGCAGCATCGGCGATGCATCGGCGATGCAGAGCGACCTTCCGACCCCATCTGCTCGGGACCCCGTCTGGGAGACCTGGATCAGACTCCTGCAGGCAAGACAGCGCCCAGACCGGGCGGCCGTCCCCCAGCGCCCAGCGGAAGGCCAGCAGCCCAGTGCACGCGGCGCGCCGCAGGCAACTGCTCGCCAAGACGGCGGCGCCGCAGAGGCCCCGCAGCTCCGAGCCGTCGGGGCACTCCAGGAAGCGCCGCAGCTCCTCAGCCTGCGACAGGCCCTCGCGGCTGAGCGGGGAGTCGAAGAACAGCGAGTCCAGGCTCAGGAGCATGGCGAGCTCCTGCGCCAGGGCCAGCGCGACTCGGAGGAGAGCACCGAGGCCGACGCCGCGGTTGAAGCACTCGTTCCAGGAGCTCTCGCCGTGCCGAACGAAGACAATGGTCTTGGTCTTGCACACGCTGCCAGAGGACTTACCCGGATCCGGCGGCAGCTGGAACTGGCCGTCCCGCGAGAGCACGAGGTACAGCCCACCGTAGGCCACCAGCGCGAGCTTCCTCCTGACCTCGACGAACAGAAAACGGCATACAAATAAACTGTCGGAGGTCCGCGCGGATTTCTTGCATCGGCGCTGGCCCACCCCGTCCCTGGCGCGCGGAGCGCGCCAGGGACGGCGCCGGAAGCGCCGCCAGGGGGGCCCGAGCGCAGAAGATACGTGAATTCTGCGCGGACTTCCGCCAGTTTATGCGCATGCTTTATGTCATTAGTTCTTCCTCCTGACCTTACAACAGCGCGCTCCACTACTCGCAAAGGGTCTGGACTCGCCGCGGGGTCTTTAAGATTCATTACATCGAGGCAAGCATCCTGTTTGACGTTTGCGAGTAGGCACTGTGCGAGTAGTGGAACGCGCTCGGTGAGACCTCGTCGAGCCGGGACCACAGGGGCGCCAGTAGCGCCCCCAGGCACAGCGCGGCGAGCAACCATAGCGCCGCCGCCCAGGCCACCATACGGCGGCCCGCTGGCGCCTCCCCCCGCCGCGCGGCGTGCGGGGGCGGTTGGCCTTGGAGGGGCTCTGCTCGCGGGGGCCGCAGCAGCGGCTGCCCGAGCCAAGGCTGCTGACCCCCGCCTGCCTCCTCCTCCTCCTCCTCCTCCTCCTCCTCCTCCTCCTCCTCCTCCTTCTCCTCCTCCTCCTCCTCCTCCTCCTCCTCCTCCTCCTCCTTTCCTGTTCCTTATGAATAACTCCTCCCTTTCGCACCCCGAGGCCCGTCGGGCGGGCGGGTTCCGCCTGAGAATTCCTGACCACTCATGAGCCTGAAGCTGAGAAGCTGGCAACAGCTTCACAAATCGAGGGCGGGTGGTTTTTCAACATGTGACTCTCGCCTTAGCGTCGCGCGCATTCGTTTTAAAACATGCAAGGCTTTCGCGGATTGAAAACGGGTGGCTTTCGAAATATGGCTCTCTCCTTAGCGCCGCGCACATTCGTTTCAACAAGTTGCAAAGGTTTCGCGGATTGACGGCGGTTCGTTTTCAAACTGTGATTATCTCCTTACTGCGCCCATTCGCTTCAAGCAATTGCAAGAACTTCACGGAGTGAGGGCGGCTCCTTTTCAAAATGTGGCTCTCGCCTTAGCGCCGCGCACGTTCGTATCAAACACTTGCAAGAATTTCACGAGTTCGCATGGTCAACTTTCTAGAGCTGGCGTTCTGGAAGGATTCAGGACTGTCAGGGCGCAACAGTCACGTCGATTCCCGGCGCTGGAGTCCCAAGAACGGCGTTCTGGCACGATACAAGGATCGTCAAAGCGCAACAATCAGGTTGACTCGTGGCCTTGAAGTCCTGAGAATCGTGTTTCGGCGCGCTTCCGGATTTTCACACGGTCGTCTTCTAACGGGGCAGTTTCCTCAGTGGCAATGAACCCTTGCAGGGGCCTATGAAGAAGGAGCTTGGAGGGAGGGTGTATTCCAACATCGTTGATGAGCCTTGGGTTTGCACTGGTCCTCCTCGTCCTTCTCCTCCTCCGCCTCCTGCTCCTCCTCCTTCTCCCCGCGTGCACCTCCGAGCAACCCTGTTCGAGGATGCCGCAGCAGCGGCTGCCCGAGCCAAGGCTGCTGCCATCGTCGTCGTCGTCGTCGTCGCTTTTCGGCCGAGTTCGACGACGGTTCTTCTCCTCGAAGGTATTCAGGGATCTCCAAGGGGGGATCCTTGGACGGTTCTCGAGGCTCTTCGATCTCTGGGGAGGTCGTCGTCGTCGTCGTTGACCTCCTCCCCCTCCTCCTCCTCCTCTTCTTCCTCCTCCTCCTCCTCCTCCTCCACAATTACTCAGTATGACTCCCTCTTCCCCTGATGGCGTCCGGGTGATGGCCGCGCACCCTCCGCGTACTGTTTTTTTGCACGCAGGATCCCCGGGAAATCCCGGGAAACGACTCTCGCTGAGGCGCCGGCGTCATTTTTTCCCAAAATGCTGCTCTCGTTGAGGCGCCGGCCTCATTTCTGCTCCCGAACCGTTCCGAATCGTGCTCCAGCTGCAGCGTGGGCCTCATTTTCGGATCGGTGTTTGGCCTCCGTCGTTCAGGATGGCGTTCTCGCCCCAGCGCGGGCCTTTTTCTCGCGCGCCCATCCGCCCGCCACCACCGCGCCGCACCGCCACCACCACCACCACCACCACCACCACAACCACCACCAGCACTAGCACCAGTACCAACACCACCACCACCAGCACCACCACCACCACCACCAGCACCACCACCACCACCATCACCAGCACCACCACCACCACCACCACTACCACCACCACCACCACGACAACCACGCACACACGCACGCACGCACGCACGTGCACCACCACCCACTACGCACGCGCGCGCGGAGCCACAGGTCCGCTACGACACGCGTCCGCGGATAGAGAAAATCAGCGCCATGGTAAGGGATGGGAGGGAGGGGTAGGACGTCAGATATGACGCGAGCGACCCTAGCTTGTCCTCCTCCCCCTTCTTCCCCTCCGTTCCGTAGCCAGTCTGGCTCAAGGCCAAAATGGTTTCCATTTCATTGCCTGGGTGGGGTACGCTCCCACAGCTATCAGCGATCGTCACTCTCGCAGCAACCACAAGGGGCGAGCTGCCGCCCACATCCTTGTTTGCAGCTGCCTCCAGGGGCGAGCGGCCGCCCATTTGCCTCAAGTCAGATCATGTCGAGTGCGCATCCTTCGAGCCAGCGCGCTGGCAGGCGACCACAGACGTGGCGCTGGAGCCGAAGGAGATGCAGCAGCCAGCACACCTCACTCTCGACGCAAACGCCCAAGGGACAACAAACTGAATTTGTACCAAGACGCGATGTGCAAGCAATGTCGGCACCGTTGGACTTGGAATGCAAAGTCTGAATGCTTCATGCGATGGAAACCCTTCGCACCGTCGCCAATTGAGAACCGTCAGCCGGCAGGTACACCGGCAGGTAGCACATCCAAGTCGCCTTGGCACGCCTCCCAGCCAGCTGCTGGGGAGGCCCTCCAAGACCCAGTCAAGCCGCCGCCAGAACGCACAGCGGAGCAGGCACTCCAGTCGGCGCTTTCAGTCCACACCAGCAGGGAGAAGAAGTTCCAGCAGACGGCCGACGAGGTCGCCGAGGCGCAGCAGTGACTCAACGACGCAGTCGCACATCAAGAGCAGGCTGCCCTCGACCTCGTCCACGCACAGAAAGCTTGCGCCAAAGCATGAGAAGACCACCGTGCCAAACTCGCTGGAGCAGCCGCGCAAGGAGCTGCAGTACCCGTATCGCGAGACATCTTCGCGGTCGACAGCACCATTTGGGAAGACCGCCTCTACGATGACGCCACCAGGACCCAGATGGAGGAGTGGAAGCGAGACATCAACCTACGCGTCAACGCGCTCAACGACGGCCAGAAGCACGTCCGCGAGAGCCTACGCAAAGCCAACGAGTTCGCAAACAACCCGCCAAGCGCAAGAGAGCCGCCGCTGGTGCCCCGCCAGCGGCCCTCCTACTCCAGATGGGCAACAGCAAGCGCATCCACCAGGACAACCTGAGACACCACACCCGCAGCTGTAGCACCAGCTGGACAAGCCGCCGAGGCCGCTGCCCAGCCTGCTGATGACGTGCCTTCTCAAGCCGACCGGAAGGCCGCCGCCGCCGCCCTAACCGAGACTGCGGCCAGGGCCACCGAGATGGTTCGCGCCACCAAGGGAGCAGGCCAAGGTGAGCAACAGCAGCAGCCAGCTGCAGCCGCCGCGGGATTTCAGCAACCTGGGCAACCCCAACACCAGGGACGCCACGGCCGAGATCCTCCTCGGCAACATCACCGAGTGGGGACCGCAGGCCGCCAACTACTGCCGCACCCTCGGCCACAGCTACCACCTCATCGCGATGTCGGAGACCCACGTGGACGCGAAGGGCATCCAGGACCAGGTCGGGAAGCTCGCCATGGACGGCTGGAAGCTCGCAGCCACACCGGCACTGCCGACCCACAAATCGGACAAGGGGACGCACGGTGGAGAGTGGGTTCTCACGCGCAGGGACATCGCAGCCACCACCTTCGAGGGCTACTGGGGCTACTACGTCAAGCGCCACAAGAGGCAGCCGTTCGCGGGCGTCTCGCCCAGCATTCTGTACACCAAGAGCGGTAAAATCGTCGATGTCGCAGTATACCTTGGGCCTGGGATTCGCGATCAGGGCGTGAACAAGGACGTCCTGATCTCCATCTCCAACTTCGTGGACATGCCAGCGACCTCTGGATCATCCTCGCCGACTGGAACTACGAGCCGCACTGGTGGGGCGACAAACCGTGGCTCACCAAATGGAACGGCACCACCCTCACCGACCCAGAGTACAAGATCACTTGCCACAAGGGCTCGGGCTCCGCGTGCGACTGCGCCATCTTGCGAGCGGACTTCGCCGTGTAAATCGACGCGAAGGCGGTCTAGGACGTTCCGTGGAAGACCGACTGCGGCAACCAAGTCACCGCGGGCACCACTGAGATCTGGAGCTACAAAGCTATCAAAGTTCCCAAAGCCCTCCCTCCCCGAGCCGGGCCAAAGAAGGTCGCCGACCCTGATGGTAAAAGGTCGAAGGCTCGGGCAGAGGCCTTGCGAACCAGGAGGGACAGGCTGTCAGAACACCTGCGCGACGAGTTCGACACCCTCCGCAAGAACGACATTGCCACTGCGGATCCCGACACCATGCCCTTCACGATCAAGGAGAGGGACCAGGCCGCGGAGGTCGCGGGCAGCAACCCGAAGCTCGAGGGGCACCTGGCCGGCGCCAAAGAGGGCAGAGGGCACATCTTCCACTAGCACTTACCGAGCAGGGCTGCAAAGACAAAGGCCACCTGCGCCAACTGGGTCGCCACCCTCGAGATCGCGCTCCTGGAGGCCCACGACATCCCCGCTGAGTAGAGGGCCAGATACCAGGGCAGGGCTGAGGGCTACAAGACAGCGAGGCAGACCACGAGGGCGTCACCAGGCCGCGAGTACCTGGAGGACCCAGAAGCAGCCCAGTGGCAGCACCTCAGCACCTTCTTCATGCGCTGCACCGCCCCCGCCAACAACTGGAAGGACCATGGGGCCCAGGGGCGGACCCGCAGCCCCATGAACCTAAATATAAACAAGCTTGAGGACCCAGAGTTCCAGAGTGACCACGTCGGCACCGAGACCGACCCGCAGGGGACAGACGAGTGGAAGCTCCAGGTCGCCTCCATCGGTTTCTGCGACGACGACGATCTACACCACCTCTGGGCGACGACCAAGAGATGGACCCACCGGGCCATGGCGAGAGCCGCAGACAGAGCGCGCACGCGCTACCTCGACTGGGCGAAGCAGGCCTGGAAGGAGGCACCTGGTAAGCCACGTCGCACAGTCGTCGATCCCAGCACGCAGCGCCTGGAAACCAACCGGGACCGCACCACCATCGGCGACCCCTGCCAGGTCGTGAACTCCGCTGCCGGCAACTGGAAGAAGATCTGGAAAACCAACTCCTACGAGCGCGTCATGCGCCTGGCCAGGGAAGGCCCCTTTCCCGCCATAGAGCCGCAGCACATCAATGCCGTCGCCAGCACCGCCAACCCTGAGAAGGCCAGATGCGCGGACAACATCGGCCCCGTCGACATT